CACCTCTTCTCTCTTATAGGACGTTTTTCTTTGATGTCTTTTCAAAGGTTTGTCTGTTGTAAGCAGCGCAACTTCAAATGTTTCCGAACAGATTCGGATTAAAAAAATAAATCTGGGCAGTGAGGTCATGGTCGGAGGAGGAAATTATTCAAATATGGTGCTGATCTATATTTGTGTGTACTCTCAGAGGACAGTGTCGGTGCGTTCTCCACATCAGGAGAAACAAACACTTGATTAAAAAAATCTAATTTGGTCATTCACTTCAATTGGTCTGTAACAGGAAATGAAACAGGTGACAGGAAATGTTTCTCGGAGCTGTTCTTGGAGTCTTCTTCAGGCTGCACATCATCAGAAACAAATTTTGCTTAAGATACAAAACCAGGGGAAGAGAAAGTCATGGTTGAAGTTTAAAAGACAATCTTAGATTCATCGATGGTCAGATTAGAGATTAGCTGGAAGATCTACGACGAATGTTATAAAATGTCAATGCTGCGTCCAACAGTTTTGAAAAGTTTCATCATTATGTCTTTGATTTGCGTTCTGTTTTATTTGATCAGACGTTCAAGGTTTTCTTCAAGGTAAACATGAAATCGTTTGTTGACCTTGAACAAAAACACTAAAAAAATAATCACGGTTTTGATCTCACTACATCTGATTTTTTTTTGTCCAAAACTTGCTAATGATAATAATAAATTTTAATTATTATTATTAGAACTTTATTGATCCCACACTGGGGAAATTCTTGTGTTGCTGCACCAGGCTGCCGCTTGGTGGCGCTAAGCTTGTGGTGCCTGTGGGAGTTCAGGTCATTTCTAAAGAAACGCCACTTGCAGAGGTATTTGGGCGTACATGACTGTGTCATTTTCATAGATGATATTTTTCAATTTGTGTATTAAGTAGAAGTGTGTTTGTATTCAGGAATCAGGCGGCAGCTGAACATATATACATATAATTTTTAAAAAATCTACCCTATCTTTAGTTCTGAATAATTCAAATCATATAGACGTCAATTTCTTTCAAATTAATAAATGTTAAAGTAAGTGACATCATCACTTTCTTCTTCTGAAACGCAGTTGTTTGTGTTTGAACAGATGGAACAGAACACCTTGTGTTCTCCCTACACAGTAATGACAGCATGATTAGAAAATGGAAATCAATTCAATTATATGAAAAGCAGGCAGTGAAACAAACTCCACAGTCTCCGTTCTCACAGTTCATGTTGTGGTTACTGGGAGCAGTGTCAAGCAGGGATCCCTGGAATTAGGGACTATCACGCATGTGAGCTCTGTCACACAGAGACCGTCTGAAAGGTAGAAGGGAAGGCTGCACTTCTACCACAGAGCTATTGCATTAGAAACATCAACAGAGCCCGGCTTCAAAGGGCTACGCCTTCACATTGAATCAATTCCCATAGATTAGATGACCTTACCAAAGTTACATTTCACTAACGTTTCTTTATGGTTCCTCAAATCCCTCGCTCTGGTTCTGGTTCCCCCTGTGAAGCCACTTCAAACGGCCTCTGCCATGGCATATCCCTTTGTGCTCTAAAAGAGCAAATATGTGTCTCTGTAAAATGTTTCAGATGCGAGCTCGCAGTGGTCCCGCAGGCACGGACGGCATTGTGCGCAAAAACACAAGAGTCAAGGGAGAGAGGAGGGGGGAGAAAAATGAAGACAATGGCCGATTGTAAAGGTAGCAGCTTCAGCGACGCTGGGTCTTTTAGGGCCGTGCCTGATAACAGTTCGGTGGATCAGTGGCAAGGTGAGGCGTTCATTGTGCTGTCAACAGTCAGGTGTGACAGGTGAGAGCGGGTGGGACTGACAAGTGAACGATGAAGACGACACACGCAGAGAGACGTGGGTGAGAGAGAAAAGGGGGAAGAAAAAAAAGCAAATAGTGTGGGAGAAATCCTGCAGCTGTAAATCAGTGTGGTCACAGAAGAAATGCCAGCAGAGTGGGGGGGGGGGGCACGAGGGGCTGCGAGGGTCCACAAACATATGTTTCAGTTTGTAAATAAAACAGTAAATTGGTATGGATATTGCTTGAATATCTGTGGGCTTTGTACCACACTCAGCGGAAGTTCTTCGGAAACGGTACAGGAAGTGACTTCTTCCAATGCCAAAGCAGCTTCTTAATGTCAGAGGCCATCTGTTTCTGCAGCACTTCAAGATGTTCGCCTTTTACTTATGTTTCCTCCCTTTCTCTTCCAACGCGTCTTTTTTTTTCACTACATAGTTGTACTTCTGTGTAATCGATGCCAATGTTCATGTTCCAAAATTAAAAGACGTTAGCCAGCGTGCCGCCTGACTGTAACGAGTAACGGTTTCAAATGTTTCACGTGCTTCGGTTAAAATGATGTACAGTATAACGAACTGTTGTATTGTGGTAGGTTTTTGTTTGTTTGTTTTTTTAACAGAAACTTTAAATTTATATTTTGCAGCTACATCAGGTGAGCGTCTGGCAGTGTCCTGCTTCGTTTTGCCGTACCCTGTCCTCCACTTCCTCTGCAGCGCCCCACTTCTGGTAGGTTCTCCACTCATTCAGAGCTACTTTTTTACAGAACTGTAATTCCTATAAAACAGCTTTTTTACAATAAACCAGAAAAATGAAATAAGGGGCATTTTTCCCCACTGTTGTAGAATTCACGAAATAATTAAAACTTTTATTATTATTATATCTTATTCAAAATTACCCAGCTCTATTAGTTGACGTCCCTTACTTTGGGAACCACTGCCTTAATACGAAGGCCCTGTATCAAGTATATTTAATAGGCTTTATACAAAACTAGAATTTTCTTTTAAATTTTTTTACGCCGTTAAAAAGACCTTTCAGGTGTTGATTTAATATCTGCAGATATTCCTCTTACATCATTAAATTAAAAAAATAATTAATTAAAACAAGGTCATAGTTTTCAGCCCTTTGGGAAATAATTAATTAAATGTATTCCTCAACTTACTTTAAATTTATATATTAGATATTTTATCCTTACAGAAAAAATATTATTTGTCTAGAACTGAAGCAAAAAAAAAAGGATTAAACAACAAAACTGCTTCAGGTTAAAAATCAAGAATGAAAAAATAAATCCTCTGGAAACATGAAAAATGGAAAGTGAGGAATTCTACGGACAACCAGAGAATGTTGTTGTTATGTTTGGAGCGATGTTTAACATAAAGAACACCGTCCCAACAGAAACAATTCATTTGGATTATTATACAGTCTTTTCACCACCACAACAACAACAAAGACAAGAAGAAAACAGAGACAAAATCTTACTTAAAAAGTAAAGAATCAAATTATTGACCAAAGTGAAGACCAGTAAAAAATCATCTGGATTTCTAATAAATTTCTATTAAAACAAATGAAATATTATCAAACATGTTTAATCCTAGGTTTTGTATCAACAGGTTTTTTCAGGTAAATGTGTGATGGTGTTTGATTCTCCTGCGTAGGTTATTGAGTACAGATTTGGACTGAACCACTTCAGTGTTTAACAATGCAGGATGTTGAGGACACTGTGGCATTTGAATGTATAAATGTGTTGTTTCCAGTTTACCACACTCTGCCAGACTGCCAGTCAACACTTTAGACAACTTCCTTCCTTGATTCGAGTAGAAAGGCGTCCTATAATTGAACGAATAAGAGCCCTCCCTCCACTAACATACCGCATGACACACACACACGCACACACACAGTTTTACAGGATGGTGTATAAAGTTAATAGGATGCATTTGGCTCCAAAGCCCCCAGCCTTCACAGTGGAAAGGGAGCCGGATTGTTTTTCAGTTTCTTAATGTTGAAGTTTATAATGGCCAGATAAAAACGTTGCCATGGTGATTTAACCACAACATTGCAATTACCTTGATGCAATGAGACTCCAGGGGCTCACAAACAAACCGTTGTAACACCATTAAGATGTAAGTACCAGCAGAAAATGTCCTCAAAACTCAGGGGAAGGGTGCAGGAAAGCAACAAAGAAAGTTAAAAAAATAACGACCGAGTCTTCTTTAAAATCAAAGCTCACTTTCTTCACCGCACATAGTCGGCTTTTTTCCTCAGCAGCTGTTAACTGGACATATTTACCCACTACATGCTGTGCAAACCAAGGCCCTAATGAGATCTAATGCACCAAACACTCGCGGCTGCTCAAGCTTTAAGTCTATCAGGTGGCTGGCTCAAGAAAATTATTAAAAGAGAGAAAAAAAAAGTGTCCAGTCACAAATCCCACCTTCATTTTAAGGGACAAATAAAAATGTGAATGGATGGAATAATTGCCTGACTTCAAAGTGCAGGTTATTGGTCTGCATTGGTCGCAACTGCAATGCTGTGGGGTGTTTTTTCTTCATAAATGTGGCTTGTGTGGGTGGGAAAAGTGGCGCATTCCTCCCATGGCACAAATCCCACTTTAATGCCAAACACTGACCCGCTGACCTGCAAAAAAGGCTGAAAAATGTGGGATCCCTTCAATTTGCTTCTAACCGTACTGTGTTTTTAGTCATATTGTCATAATTCTTAGTAAAATTAAAAAATAAATAAACACTGTGAAAAATGTTTTTCTTTAAATGAAACGGCTAACAGTTATTACAACATAAATACTGTCTAAACTACTACACTGTTGTAGGTTTGACTATAGTGGTTAGCTAAAAAAGTAGCATACATCAAAGGCTCATGTGGGGGGTCTTTTTTCATTGAACTTTATTTAAGTGTAATTCCTACAAAACAATTCTGTTGTAAAAATTAATAAAGTACAAAGTCTATTTTCATTTTGGCACTAATGACGAAAATCTGACTATTGAAATTCATTTGCTGTGCTGCAGCCCCCCTGACCCCCACCCAAAAGCTCCACGTCACACTAAGCCTCCTCCCCCCACACTTAAGGAACCGCTGGTTCATAGTTTGCCAACTTTGTGCTAGAGATAATTGTCCATTTAAAACCAATATCTATAAAAATGTGTGACATCATGAGGAGTGCAACAATTCATACATTCAAACAGATCGTTTGATCAGGTCTTAAACTCTTCTTTTTATTGAAATTTATTTTAGAATGACATAAAAAATATTTATTAAGCACTTTAAAGGAATGTACTCACTGTGCATTAAGTTGGAAATCACAGACGTTTTACATGATTTATATGTGACAGTAAACAAAATAAACATTAGAAAGAAATACAGTATAAGTTATCTCACTTAAAAGAAAACAGTTTAACATGGACAATATTTCATTATTATTATTATTATAAAACATAGAGAAAGTGTGAATCACAGCCCATTGAGGGGCATTCAACATTAAACTTCAGTCTTTCAAGTCAAGAAAATAAAAAAGAAATACAGAAAAATATCAACATTAAAAATATTTTTGTGATAAATTCTTTAAAGATCAGAAACGGTCTGGTCAGAACATCGGTCTCACATGGTTATTTACAGCAGCACAATAACCTGTTACCTTCAGTAATCCTGGAGGTTTTCATTGCTTTGATGCAGGACTAGGAAAGACACACACGTCTATCTATTTAACCCTCACTGATGCAGAAAAACAACAACAAACACCAAGACTGAACACCAAAAATTAAGTCTGGACGTCGTTGATATTTAAGGAATGAAGGAATGGCTCCCTCTGGTGGCAGTCGCACAGAAGTGCAAGCGTCTGCTGTTAAATGTTAGTTTTAAAAATCCTTTCCAAAGATTAAAAATGTTTAAGAAAAAACAGTTGAGGTTGTATTATAAAAGCAATACATATCCGTGTATAAAATATACTTATTCATAGCGCGCCCTCCAGTAATAAAGCAGATTTACTGTTCATTCTGAGTGTATTAACTGTTCTATGACGGAAATGTCTTTTTTTTTTATCCCCCTTCTTCAACTGTCCTTTCACTCTTACTCTGACACTCCCCAAACTCCTTTCGGTAGCGGTGAGAGCTCAAGGACAGCAGGAAGGACCACTTCAGACTCATGAAGCTCCACACACAAGAAAGGTAAAAACTCCGAGGGTTCGTAAAAGCTGCGGGAGGAGAAAACCACACATTCTTTATTCTTTACATCACAGACAGTCTTTTTTTTCATTTGTGCAGACAGATTAAAACAAAATTATTAGACACCCCCATTCTGCCCAAAATTACTTATTTTCAACTATCGTTTTAGTTCTTTCAGTTATTATTGTTATTATTATTGTTATTATTATAATACATCTGAACCACAAATCTGCATGTTTTAAACTATGGGAGGGAACCGTACTCACATAACACCACAACTTACATTCGTTCTTACTGATGGCAACAGACAGGAAGGCGATGAAGGCTACAACTGCCAGCAGAGAGAAAAAGACCCCAATGAAAAAGAAGAACTTAAGCCCCCAAAGCCAGGCCTTCCAGCTTTCCTCCAGGTACATGATGTGATTGATGAGGGTCCACAGTGCCAGCACACCTGAGGGACATGTCACAATATTAACTCTGGACTGTTTCCAATAATTCAACAGCAAATTCACAGATATCTACCAACTCCAGGTCCCTAAGCAGATGTTTAATTGTGTGTTGGTCAGAATGTTTATTATGGAATGTTTTTCAGAGTTTTTCAGAGTGACTTCGATGGTTATTTCTCAGATATTTTCAAACAAACAAGAATTTAAAAAGTGTCCTCTTAACTATATAGTGAAAAGTCAGAGTTTGATTAAATGTGACAGTGTAAAAATAGTATGCCATGTGACAGGTCATTACCCTCCCTGCCACTAGAGGGCACTGTGCAAACCCGCTGGCCCTCATGATTGGGGGTGGGACTATGTGGCCATATATATCTATATATATAGATATATATATGGAGGCCCAGGTGATGGAGGGACGGGGCGTGTTTTCTGTTAATTTTGCACATCTTTTACAGTCTATGTTTTTGGTGAGTGTAAATTGCCTGCTTGATTTCTCAGCATTCCTGTATATATATATATATATGTGTGTGTGTGTGTGTGTGTGTGTGTGTGTGTGTGTATATACCTGTATAGAGCAACTGCAACGAAGTTGGTTTTAATTGAACCAATCAGGAAAAGTTTGAATTTTAAAGTGACAAAACACTGGTTTCATGTCTGTTTCACCTCAGCTCTGATTGTTCTGTCCTTTCTGCTTACACTACAGTAGTGGACAGCAAACCTAGAGTTCTGCACTGCAGCGTAAAAAGGAAGTAGAACTTAGAGTCTATGGACAGGGTGTTCACAATTCTTGTTTTTTATGCTGAGTCATGAATCCGTTTTGTTTTCTTGTTTTTTACTGAACTAAAGAGAACTTCTGTGTCATTCTGGGAGCCGTATTCAGTGTCACTTAACTGAATAATGTTATGAATAAGAACAAATGCCACAGATAATTTAATGATGATCTTAGCTGCAAAATATTAGTTTTAAAATATAGGGTAATGGAGGGACTGTTGGTAAATGGCATGTTTTTCTGTTTCTGTTTTGTTTTTTTTTATTTTTTGTTTTTCTGTTTCTGTTTTGTTTTTTTCTGTATCTATGAAGCCATCAATTATTTGACAGAAGAGTTTTTAAGGGATGATGTCAGTGTGAACTTTGGTGTCTACAATCTGTATCAAGCACTAAAACTGATTAGAGAAGAACAAGCAAAGCCTGATTGGTTCAGAAGACTTTCACCTCCCACTGCGTGTTACCTTTTATTACACAGCACTGACTTTTGTGTTTGTCTGAAACACTTCGTCACTTATTAAAACTTATTAAAAGCCGTTGCTAAGTCAACACTTCCGATGTACAGTAAGCACTTTAGAGCAATTAGTTTTATCTGTCATAAACTTAATGCAGTAAAAGGTTGAGCTTTGGAAAAGCAGTCTTTTTTCAAATTTCTAACACAGTGAAACAGTGCAACAAAAAATACTGGATACTAGTTTCAATATTGAATGAAAACAGCAAATGCTGACGTTTCATATACAGTATTAGACTTTAGATTGTTTAAATACGTTAAGCTGTCATTATATATGTATATATGTATATGTGTATATATATATATATTGTTCATAGAATTCAGAAATGATTTTTATTCTGTATAATGTATTATACAGAATATATACAGTACTGGTGGACAGAATAATAATAATAAACATAAGTCTAATTGACAAGGTGTTTGTGTGTATGATAACAGGACCCATGGACAAATAAAGGACATGTTTATGGACACAGGATCCATGGACACAGACTTAACGGACACACGACAGACAGGACAGATACCAGCAGTGTTTACCTGACAGTCCTCCCATGGCTGCTGTCCATGGCTGTCTGTACAGGATGTTCCACAGGAGGAAGGAAGAGAAACCAACGAGAAGACCGCATATCGAATAACAAATTCTGATGTAGGTTTTATCTACTGCCATATTCACAGTAAAGACAAAAACTGAGACAAAAGACAATGTGATCGCAGATCCCGGAGAGAGAGCGACAGAAAGAGAGGGGCGGGGGGTGGGAACTATTTCATTACAACTACACCATTACATCTGGAAACACGTGTCTACTATTGCTTAATAATGACTTTCTAGACAGAAGTCCAAATCGTTACACAGCATTTTTTCCGCTTTTTGCACTCAACTTGATGAAACGAACACCTACATGAAAACGCGCACACGCAGTCAAACTCACAGATTCACAGCTCTACGTCGACTGAAGTGTGCGTGAAATCTGCTCAGTAATGTGACTCTTGGCAACTGTTGCCAGATCTTATGATACAAAAGTAATCAGTTGAAAACAAGGCCAAACGACGCGACTCACCCACAACAATCCGTCAACCTCATTGGAATTTATACCTGTGAACCTGTTTAATTTGAAGGCAAAAATATTATTATAATATTTAACGCCATTAAACACGTCATTTGTTACTCCTCACACACTATTAACAAAGTTTTAGTAGGACGTAGTTTATCGCTTGTTAGTCAGTGGGTCACAGTTTACTGGTGTAGGTATAAAAATGCCGAAACCCGGGATTGAACCAGGGACCTTCAGATCTTCAGTCTGACGCTCTCCCAACTGAGCTATTTCGGCTGGTAGAATAACAACTTCCAATTTTCTGTGTATATTTAAGGTATTCAAGAATTAAAGGCGTTTGATCTACAAAATACTGTTATCAACACAACAATAAACATATAATACTGTCGTATACTGACGTTATTCGTTGTAGTTAGATATAAAAAAGTTAGGACCAACATTTCTGTTTGAAAAACACTAATGTAGCCTTTGAATTAACGATCAAATAAGTATTTCATATGTACTTGAAACAACAGTATGGAGTTTAGGTCTCAGTTTTCACTCGCAAATCTGTGGAGGAAACAGAAGACCGTGGTCGGTGCCAGAAGATCAACATAAGGGAAGACATTTGCAGGGTAGAAAACTTCCAAAGATTTACCCATTGAAAGTCGTCGATAGGGGACGCCAATCGGTGTAGATTGTTTGCTGACTGCTCTACTGACAGCTGTGAAGAAGGAGTGTGGGGGGTGCAGGAGGCAGTGACAGCTGAAGTGAACCGTTCCCCCATCGGAGCAGTAGTTAGTAAACTGGATAAAACAGAGACATTGCCGGGCAGCAGGTCGATTGACAAAAACCTAGAGGTCGCATTTACGATTTGGTTTTCGCACGGTTAACATCTCTGTTCCGATAGATTGTCGCGTTGTCGTTTTTTGGTTTTGGGTGCTGATTCAAGTCATGTAGTCGTTTGTAGCAAAGTGAGTGGACACTGTTGCTTTGAGTCGTATCATATGTGCCGTGAACATTAGCCAGGCGCTGTTAGCCGGGTTTCCTAGGTGTCTACGGTGGCATCCAGTCGCCTGCTTGTTTAGAATCTGTCAGGTTGTCGACAAAACGCCAAGCCGCGGGGTGTTGGGTAAAGATGGGTGATATAAACCCATCGACATCTCACGCCTTCCAGTCGGAGGTAAGTGTATTGTTGTCACTGTTTTGTGATGAGTACTACTTTGCAAAATTCGACTTGAGCAGACATCAACCCCCTCCTGTGCTCTTGTCAATGCACCGTCGAACAGTAGCATCTGTTCACTTAGCGTTAGCTTTCTATGCTACTGTTTACATAATGTTACCTTTTGCAACTGAAAGTAAATACGTTTCACGTATGTACAAGCGTGCAGCGAGTAATCAACTAAATATGAGGTCAGTGCATTTGAATGCGTGGTTTTATGACTTTAATCAATAGTTTGTGAGACTGTCATGTCAAAAGCTAACCTTAACTTAAGGGGTTAATTGTAAAGAAAACAGTTCTTCTTTCTTGCGAGGCGTGCTAACATTGATGTTAGCTCATCGTTATGCATTCGTTCCATGCTTTTTAATGTACAGCCGCCAGTTGTCACTACCGGTAATTCTTTAGTGACACTTTAAAACACTTTAATGCTGCCATAGATAGGCTGCCAAGAATTTAGCCACCTAGCATCCATTACTTGTGTGCTAGCCCAGTCAGCTAACGTTAGCTGCCTGTCCTGGTCTTGGATGGGGGTTGGTAAAAAGGTCTTCGGGCGAGTCCAGAGATAAAAAGCTATCAAATAGGATCATATGAAATTGCACACCAGCGAAACAAATATATTTTGAAGCAACAATCAGAGAATATCATTCCGTTTTACGAGTCCTGTATGATACAAAAATGGGTTGGAAGCAGGTGGGGCATCCTTAGTATGTAACCTTTATATTGAGTTTTTTTTAGTTTTAGTTGTAATACACATGCACAATCGCCCACTGTGTTTTTGCAAGTTAACAGTTAATTAGTCTAGTTAGTAAGTAGTTTCTGTAATGCTTTAAAAAAAGGCAACATCTCTCAAAATGTTTTATTTGTATACGTTTTTTTCTCCATGGGTGAGGTTGTGATGATCAGAAATTAACATTTTATCTTAAGAAAACGTTCAAATTACTTCATACTGAGAGCAAATAAAGTAACAATGTGACCCCTGTTTCTAGAAAGTGCAGTGTGAGTTGGGGAAAAGGGAATTGTGGGATATTGTGTATTACTTTCATTTACAAATTGAAAGTCTAAATCAAAACTACTTTAAATAAGGAATTTTACTGCTTAATTTGTAATTGTATTAAATTCACAACATGCCTTCTTGACATACCTTATGTTGCCATTTTAACTGTTTGGTTTTTTTGTTTGTTTTAGCTCAGCCATAGAAACAATTTTGTGAGATCTTGAAAATATTAACATTGCTCTGCATTCAATGTGGGTTTGCATGACATTGTATAAGCCAACAATCCCACTGCTCTGTCTTTTAGGGTTTCAGTCCCCCCTACAAGAGGAGGAGAACAGTGGAGGATTTCAACAAGTTTTGCACTTTTGTATTAGCCTATGCTGGTTATATCCCATATCCTCAAGAGGTAAGTAATTGGCACTGGAGCATTTGGAATTGATAGGTTTTTGTTTACAATTAAATGTTACAATTTAGACTGATGTTACATGATTATTTGATTTCAAAATAAGCTCTTGAGTTTTGTCATTATAATTGAACAGTTAAGCAATAATAAGAAAAACTTTTTATCATCTTTAAATGTATCAAAAACATCAATCAAAGCTCAGTGCAACTTGAAGGCTTCCCTAACAAGACACCAATTTGTGTTTTAAACTCTAAATAATGACAAATCTCTTTATTCTCTGTTTTTCCCACCCTCTAAATCCGTACTAGTCTTAGTTTATCCCATTACTGGGAGGGAGGCGGCTCAGTAATGTAACGTTTAAAGTTGAAGGTTTAACATTTGCTTAATGCATTGTTATCCAAGTAAACATTCTCGGCTGGAGCTGATGAACATCACATTGTGTTAAATACTTTCTGTAATAAGACCACAACATCATGCCCACAGGCATTAGTTGGATAGTGCTGTTTGTAAGATGCTGAGAAACAAAACAGTTACCATAAAACAGTTAAAACCACAGCTTATTTCAGCAAGCTGTAAGACGTGAATTACTACTTCAGGGCAAATACCTCCCACCAGCATTAGAATGTGCCAAGGGAACGTGGTATAGAATGGATATTCACTACGTCAGGCTTTGTGTTTGTTGGTAAACCAGTTATAATAGTCTAATGGCCTATGCATTTCATGTTGCATTGCATTTGGAATGATAATTTAAGAGCAAAAAGAGGCAATACCAGCATGATTGCTCCAGCTGTGTTGTATGACACTGCAAACAGGGCTGACACAATAACCTTACTTTACCTGTTGAAGTGCTAAAGAAATAACACACGCATTAAAAGCTAATTCAAAAATTGTCTTAATTTCTACAATTCCTACATTTGTCAAATTGAACGCGGATGTTTGAGACTACATATATTTCTCTTGCACTCTTGTTAAATATGGTTTCACTTCCCTGAGGATGAAAATGGGATCATGACCAGCTGTTGCAAACTCACTAGCATAAAAATTGAGCAGACAAGTGCCTGCTCGTCTGTTTAAATTTCCTTTGTATGTTAGTGCAACACCACAGTTTTGTAGTCTCTGCTGCTGTTTCTCCTTAAATTATTTTGTTCTTAAATGTCTGTTGTATTTGCAATATATGCATCCAACCAACCAACAACAAAAGGAAACATCTCAGTCCATCAAACTGGAAAACTTCAAAAAGAGAAGTTGGAATCTTTGCCCTGCAGAGATCACAGTGGGTAAAAGGGAACCCACTGAACAGAGAGCCAGTGTGTTTGTTCATGTGTGTGATTTCAGAATTGAATTTAAGTGGCGGCTGTTGTGATACTTCATTGCACAGTAAGTCTTTGGCTGACAAACAGGCTTACAACATAAAATAAAATAAAAAGAAATGCTCTACTGTGACTAGTGTTTAGCTGAGCACTAAGGCTCACATGCTATTTAAATTTTATTCTTACTGGTGGAATTTTGAGCCTGTTGTGTTTTTTTATTATTTTAATATGCTATAAGAACACAAAGTAAATTAGTGATATTATTTGGTCAGTTTGTTATAAAGTGATGAATAGTTCTAGCCATGGTATTTAAAACAGAATCTTGATATTTGGATTTAATGTGTTGAGCAAATTTGCCCAGATGCACAGATGCAGCAAAGTGACAGCCATATGAGGGTTCTCATGAAGAAATCACAGTAAAAGTCAAGTGTCTCAATGACTGCACGCTCGGTTTGAACCACTTCCCTGAGGAAGGTGTTTCACACTCTCACAATCCACAAAAATGTCAACAAGAAGCTGTTAAATTGTTAAATCATGAAATTGTTAAACTGAATTTAATTGCCTATAAATAATACGCACTCTGGTTTTTACCGTCTTTCTTAGTAAAATCACATTTGTAATTGATGTGGTTTTTATGTGGAGGCCCAGACAATTTTCCACATTGTGGACGATAAAGTTTAACTTTACAATACACAGAACACATGCTTTGTCTTCCAGTTTAAACCTGCTAATTAACAATGCAGGCAAGTTCTTTGTCCTGTAGCCACAGTAGGAATCTAAAAGCATACATATGCAAAGGAGGTGGTTCCCAAAGTGAGGGATGGTTCCTCCTCGGGGGTCACAGAGTTATTCCATGGTGGTTAAGCAATGCAAATATATTAATTTCAATATTTTCATTTGTGCCTGTGTGTTGGAATTTCACTGTTTTCCAATTTATTTTTCTCTGTTCAATGAAAAAAAGCTATCAATAGAATTGTTTTCAATAAAAAAAAAGCTGCAAATGTGTTGGGTGAGGGGCATAACAGTTATTTCAGCTGTTTAGAAAAAGGGGGCACTGAAGAAAAAAGTTTGGGATCATTGTGCTAAAGTATGGATTCAAGTATCATCTCAACCGTTATTTTCATCTTTACTGTAACAGGTCTCACCACTGCGCAGTAGTACCAGCCCCCCCAACAGTACAGGCAGCACAGCTGACAGTGACGGCTGGACCCCAGGTCCCCCGTCCTCATGCTCCCCGCGTCCCCCAAAGATTCCCCAGGACAGGAACAGAAAACGTCCGCAGCCAGTTGCCACACTTTCCAGTCACACAAAGAAAGAAGTCAGTGAAGTTGATGTCCTGTCAATTCTTGTTGGGGTTTGTTTTTCTTTTATCCGTTTTGACACATGACTGCTTTCTTCTCTGCAGCAAACAATCACTACGCTCCACCCGGACGACCGCAGGAAAGCAGAAAAGCTGAAGAAGAAGAAGAGGAGAAAGGAGAGGGAGCAGGAGTCCAACGAGGACAGCAAAGCACAGCATGTGCATGCTGCAGACACAGACGTCCAGTACCCTGTGTCTTTCACCAGCCGAATGATCAAAGAAGAGCCTGAAGATGAGATCAGCATTCCCATTCACTCTCAGCGTCTACCAAGTCCTCGGCCCTGCAAGGAGGAGCCAAAGGATGGTCATCAATGGGATGGTCGAGATCTGGAAGAAGGAGTTGTGAAGGTACAGAAGGTGGAAGGCTTTTCAGGAAACAGAACAGTATTCCGTCAGGGGAAACAGGTGGTGTTCAGAGATGAAGATGGATCAGGAGAGGACGAGGACATCATGGTGGACTCAGGTGAGTAAAGTTGTTTTTTGTTGCTATTGTTGTTCAAATCCCATTTCCTACAAATATCTTTTTCCAAGAAATGCAATACAATCTCAAAGCTTTAATCAAGTAAATGCATTTTAATGGTTTTCAAATCTGGCAGAAGAACAAAGTAAATGTTTTCACTGATGATCTTAATTAAATATGTCCAACCTGAATATTCCATCATACAGGGATGAAGGTCTATCGGGTTTAACCTGAAATCAAAGATATTCTATATTCAGCAACTGGCTGCTGCCACGTTTTAATCTCCTAATGGTGCCTACGGGAAGAAGACCCATATGGCTGTATGAATACATTTTAATGAGGAGAAAAAAGTGAGAAGACTGATTAACAAACTCAATAGTCAGCTTTTCTGACCACTGAATCTATCTCTGTTATCTTTTAGTACGTATCAGATGAGTTTGAGCACAAAGAACTGACACCATTTAGACAGATGGCTTGTGTTTCCTGTGATCCATTTCCAGGGAACGCTTTGGGGTTTTTCTCTGGGAAGAAATGTCAAAATAAATTAAAGTGTACATTTTAGGTTCTGTGGTGTTTTGTATATCTCTCTAGATGATGACTCGTGGGACTTGGTCACCTGTTTCTGCATGAAGCCTTTTGCTGGTCGGGCCATGATAGAGTGTAACAAGTGTAACACCTGGATCCACCTCTCCTGCGCCAAGATCCGCAAGAGCCACGTGCCAGAGACATATGTTTGTCAGAGCTGCCGAGACACACACGGGGTGCCTGATGCTCGCCGCTCACACCGCTCACGCATAGGCCCCCGCAAACACCTGCTTGATTGACCCAGAGTCGCGTCCAGAACTTTGACCACTTCCTCCTCGGCCTGTCCTTTTTAAATGCCGGATTGTTGTACTTTTCTTCCTCGTCAGGTCCTGAAACTTTTAGTCTCCTGTTCAGCCATAACCCCGCTCCCCGTTTTCTATGTACACTTTGGTGGACCTATCCCAAGTCCTTAATCCATTTATGGAGCGCTATTTTAGAATAGGGTTTGTTTCTGCTTCCCTCCTGACTGCGTAAGGCAATCACTGAATGGAAGTCTGTCTGTGGAAGATGTTGGTTTAGCAGCAAACCGCTACTATTGGAACTTGGTGTCTTGGTGAACACTGGAAGCATTTGAACTGCCATATTGAGAGAATACCCTCACAACTGCCACCCACTACAGTGCATGCTGAGTTCTGTGGGAAACTGACTGTTTGCACTTTTTTCTTATCACTTTTTCTCAGTTAAAAATTCCCATCTGACAGCTGTGTCTTTCTGTAAAAACTGGACTTGATGTCTCTGAGATGCCTCCATCAACGTTACACCAAAATGTAACGAAAGCAAGTTCAAGCCTTTTGTGAATTCCTTCACCAACTTCAGATGGTGCTATAATGTTAAGCTGAGGTATAATCTGATAGAACAAAGCTGTAGGATAAGAGACTTGGAGTCTGCATCTGCTTCAACTCTTTGTTTTTAACTTTTTCAACTCTTTTTAGTTTTTAACACACTGTGCAAAAAAGCCTGTAGATTTCTTCACAAGTTGTCTTCCAGCATAGGCTGCTTTTCTGCCCCAAGATGCTTTTGGGCTCTACCTAAATCTTTTTAATGCTTTGATCTATTATCACCAGAGTTTCTCATTGTAATTTGTTTTTTAAAAAGAAATCAAATAATGATCAGGTTTCAGAAAACATTTGGCAAAGGTGTTCACTGTTTGAATCCAGCTTGATTAAGCTGAAATTTACATATTTGGTTAGAGCTGCACTGTTCAAATATACAATTGTTGAACAAACTGTAATCTTGTTGTTTTCACATATTTATTAAAGGGAACTCCTGTTGTTGTCAAGTTAAGAGTAACAACAGAAAACAAAGCTCTCTAACCTACAATAGTGTTGGAGAGATTTTCTCATGTGTCCAGTTAAAGTTATGCATGAGTGTGTTTGTTTGAATGGTTAACACTGTCAGGGTGTTGCATGTGCTGCTATAACTGTTCCCAAACTGGACCTTTTGAATTTTGTGGGTTTCTCGTAAGATGGAGAGCTGACGTCATCAAAGCGTTTGTGCAGGAGTTTATTTTGTCCGGTCTGACTGTGGTGGGTCAGAGCAGAAGGACAGTCTTCAGTCTCTAAACACGTCTTAATTAAACTTTTCACAGCAGTATTTACTGACGTTCCCGAGGACAGTTTTCGTTAAACATGCTGTAACCTGGACAAAAGAGTTAGCATTGTTCTTTATGTGCCATCAGCTGTTGGGCCTGTCAGTTGTTACCTATTAAATAAAAAGCCATACTGTAAAGTTACAGATTTTACACTCAGATACTTGGATCTTAGTCCAGAATGGGGTTTCCAATGCAGAATCATCACTTGACCGGGAAAAATTTAACACTGGCAATAAACGTTTAGCTTTAAATTACTCCGTTTCTCACATCACTCTGCTGGTACAAATGTTAGCCAACCCTACACAGCAATCCTACAAGCAGCAAAAAATGATGTGAAGAGAATTTAGAGAAAACACCATAATGCACACTTTTGATAAACCTCTCACCCAAACATCTGATTAGTGATGTCAACAAATCCTATTGTGATACTGCTCATTTGTTCTGATCCTGGGTTGTCCTATCCCCGATTGAGAATGCGTTGGCTGTACTGTGGTGCAAACTGTTTCTGTGAAACTATTGTAAAATATTGTAAATAAAGAGTTACAATTTTAACACGATGTAAATTGTCTGATGATAAAATTATACATTAAAACGTTTGATTTATTATTACTTTTGTTGGAACCAAAAAGCAAATTTAGTTTGTTTGTTACAACAAGGTGCAATCTTTCTGCTGGCCTCACGGGGGCACTGGAGGAGAGCAGGCTTTAAAAATGTCTGCCGTGGTTCTCAGTCATCCTGGTCATTTAAATGGTTCGTCTAGACTGGCTTGGTCTGTAGAAGACATTACACCTCTCATCCAAGAGGCTTCACAGTTCTAAGTGAATGCTGGGTAATCTCGCTATCTCGTAGCATCTGAGTTACTTACCCTTAAGCAAGTATATAAAACATCAACATCATGGTGTACATTATAACAATAGCATAACGAAACAAGAAACGTAAAAAACAAACAAAATAAATGTATAAAGTACAGAATTATATAATGTAGTATACACAAAAATTATTTAAGTAAATCTAAAGTCAAATTACGGATGTATGAGGAGTAAAGGGCATAATACGCGGTGAAAAAATAGTTGCAAGAATAACAAACACAGAACAATGGTCAGTCAGAAGTATTTAGGGATAAAACTTTAATAGTAAAGTGTTCTTTGTTTTACTTTGATAACCTAGGTATTCCCGGGGTTGACGTCTCACATCCCGTCATGCATCACTCGAATTCAATGAGCGTTGACGGCCACCTGCAACTGCCAACAGGTGAAGTTGAACAAACGAAGAAACAAACAAATATGGCAGATAGTCGTTGTATCCAGGCATGGCAGAACACTCAAAGACGAGCGAAGGGATGGGAATTTTACAGGAACCCTAGAGACTGCGAAAGACGACAAAGTGGATAAGTGCAATTAAACAAGCCATGAGCAATCAGGGAAAAACGGAGCAGTGGGACCTTACATGCGACGACTTCCGCTTACACAGCGATCTCATTATATCAGGTACAGAATCCAATGTTTCTCAACTTTTATATAAAAAAATGCATGTTGGACAAATGTTTTATGGCGTGACTTGTGTGGGGCTAACTACTAGCACGAAACGGCTACAGTAGACGTATCCGTTGTATCATCACAATTCTGTATGTGGTCTGACTCTGTCTTAATTCACCTGAACTATGATACAAGTACTGTACGTGTAGATAAGACAATACTTGATTAACGCTAACTGTAACAGCGGTAAGGGCCAAAGAAAAAAGTGCTTGAGAAAAGTAAAGTGAAACTTTTTGTGTCGGCAAACTCTTAGCTTGTAGCTTCTCCTCCCTCCCCTCCAGGAGGTGCTACAAGCGCAATGTGAATGTCCTGGTTCAGGAGTTTTATTTAGCTTTCGAGACTAGCGATTGTCCAGTGTATATAAGGAACTCACCTTGTGACAGACACATTTAGGTTAGCAGTTAATTACAGCAGAACAGACCTAAGAAAGGATCCCCAGCCTGGGAACTTTAGTAGTGAGTGTCTGCTACTCCATGGGGGATGTACACAACTTTGTGACAGAGCGTTAAAAGTGTTGTTGCCTCAAATAATTTTGAAATTGCACTCTTTGACACAATAAGGTTTTATTTAGGGACTCTACGTTTACAGTAGTCCATCTCCCTTGAGAATGGCTCTATTTTTCTGTGGTAGACATTTCCATCCAGGTACATTATGACCACCAGTAAATGACCAGGGGCAGTGCTGTGTATGATTCTGTTTTTGTTAAAGGAAATTCCTTATATTATATATTTTAGAGGAGCAAAGGTGAAGAACAGTCAGAGTATAATAGTGACCCTCAGATGTTGCACCAACTCACCACTGATCAAAATTACATCAAATCACTGGAAGCCCAAATGAACAAATCATAGCCAACCTATGGGTTTCAGTACAAATTATCATAGTGTACTTGATACACTGCTTAGTATTCATAGAATCTGTCCAAAATACTGTTGTTCTTTAACTTATGGTTATGTACACACAGTGGAGTCTTTGTACAGTATCACATCATCAAACAAAAGGCAAAAAAACAACAACTATGGAATAATCTCTCTGGAACATACTGTAGGTCATAGGTCAAATTTCAGTTAATTCCGTTATACATTATACAGAGTATCAGCAGATTACAGTGCATAAAATATACCTTTCTAAAAAAGTGCATAAATGAATGTTATTCATTCCTTCATCTCAACAGCCTGAACATGTCACCAGGTCATCAATGCAAGACAAGGCAACTTATACTTGTAGTTAATTTAAATTGTCAAGTTAACCGAATCCCAATTCATATACCGTATTTGTTGGATAATGGAAAAAAAAAAAGTACAGTTGAGACAGGGAATGTACATGTACTCCATAAGAAAGCTCACTAGTTTTCACACTGGGATCACACAGGTGATGTTCTTGCAATACGGCAAGAGTGATATCCACTCTTCCATTTTGCCCCAAAAGACTATCAAATGAAAATGATGCAGATGGGAGCAGGACTATAGGTGCAGGCCTAAAAATGTGGATAATGGAATCTTGTACAATGCTGTGTACAATGCTGCCTACAACGTAAAAACAAACACATTGGTAACATAATATTTATGACACAATAATTGCGTACATATTTGGCTGTGGACAGTGATATACCTCCATAAATGAGCCAAAAGGCAGTAAAATGATTGATGCAGCTCCGGTCAACTCCTGTAACAAGTATTGTAAATAAATATGTTTGCCAGTAACTGCTCCAGCACAACGCCCCCTACTGATCACATTTCAGCCAGATATTTTTTCAGGTTTTCTACTAAATTGTAACCAGTAGCAACATCATGAGCACTGTCATCTCAAGGAAGGGCCACATTAGTGATTATTACAAAAAACACATTTCCCTTTCTGATTATTTTAACTACTAAAATTGTGCAAAAAATCATTTTAATGATCCAATAAAACAATTTGTCACCTCCCTACAGGCCAGGAACATGACAGTACTTCAACTTTTAATGAACTAATACAGACATGGGTATTCATATTAGTGTTTAGCTGTCAGTGCCAAGAACTAAACATTTCTACTCATATTTTTTTATACTATTTAACCTTGTAAATGTTATCTTTTTGTTTCCCCTGTGTATCCTTCAAATAAAACACTAATGTGTCCTGGTGTTTCATCAGCTCTTAACTCAAAAATATTTTCATCGCGTTTCCCCTGCTCAGTCATCGCACCTCAGTAAAGAACTACAATATTTTTGACATCTGGTATGAGCCAGATGTGGCCTGCCACCCGGGGGTGTGAGACCCCGTCCTTAGAGTTTAATCATAACGTGGTCGAGGCTATCATTTCACTGCACATATTTTATTCTACCCACACCTTCAGAGATACGTCTTCACACTTGTTTTCACCTGCTGACTGGTGCCACACTGAGAAGCCGACATGTCTCTGAAGGAAATCATAAATTAACACGAAACAGCCATAACAATAAAAACAGGACAGACAGCCTCAGGGTGGAAGTCATGACAGACAGGTTCGGCATAACGTTAAGGGCTCATAAACACAGAATACAGACAACAGTGATGAACGGAGCAGCTCATTTGTATGTGTCTGACGTAACAGATGTCAGGAAACGTTTTTAAATGAACGTGTGCAGGTTTAGTTCTCGTCTGAAGGGAACTGTCAGCACGTCTGCGGTGCCGCCCAGTCCCTCTGTGTAGTGTGTATGTAAAGCGGCGTGCAGGGCCAATTTGTGATCTTCTGCAGCAGGCAGAGATCTGACAGGTACGTAGACGACTAGAGACTGAGGAGGTGTCGC